TCTTTGGATCCTCTGCAGCCTTTCTCTCCGGGCTACTTTGCTTCTTCTTCTTGAAATCCTCTGCAGCCTTTCTCTCCGGGCTACTTTGCCTTGGCTTCTTCTTCTTCTTGGGATCCTCTGCAGCCTTTCCCTCCGGGCTACTTTGCCTTTGCTTCTTCTTCTTCTTCTTTTTCTTCTTCTTCTTCTTGGGATCCTCTGCAGCCTTTCTCTGCGGGCTACTTTGCCTTTGCTTCTTCTTCTTGGGATCCTCTGTAGCCTTTCTCTCCGGGCTACTTTGCCTTTGCTTCTTCTTCTTCTTGGGATCCAAAGCAGCCTTTCTCTCCGGGCTACCAATACTTTGCCTTTGCTCCTTCTTCTTGGGACCCTCTATAGCCTTTCTCTCCGGGCTACTTTGCCTTTGCTTCTTCTTGTTCTTGGGATCCTCTGCAGCCTTTCTCTCCGGACTACTTTGCCTTGGCTTCTTCTTCTTGGGATCCTCTACAGCCTTTCTCTCCGGGCTACTTTGCCTTTGCTTCTTCTTCTTCTTGGGATCCTCTGCAGCCTTTCTCTCCGGGCTACTTTGCCTGTGCTTCTTCTTCTTGGGATCCTCTGCAGCCTTTCTCTGCGGGCTACTTTGCTTTTGCTTCTTCTTCTTCTTGGGATCCTCTGCAGCCTTTCTCTCCGGGCTCATTTGCCTTTGCTTCTTCTTCTTCTTGGGATCCTCTGCAGCCTTTCTCTCCGGGCTACTTTTTCTTTGCTTCTTCTTCTTCTTGGGATCCTCTGCAGCCTTTCTCTCCGGACTTTTTTGCCTTTGCTTCTTCTTCTTCTTGGAATCCTCTGCAGCCTTTCTCTCCGGGCTACGTTGCCTTTGCTTCTTCTTCTTCTTGGGATCCTCTGCAACCTTTCTCTCCGGGCTACTTTGCCTTTGCTTCTTCTTCTTCTTCTTGGGATCCTCTGCAGCCTTTCTCTCCGGGCTACTTTGCCTTGACTTCTTCTTCTTGGGATCCTCTGTAGCCTTTCTCTCCGGGCTACTTTGCCTTTGCTTCTTCTTCTTTTTCTTCTTCTTCTTCTTGGGATCCTCTGCAGCCTTTCTCTCCGGGCTACGTTGCCTTTGCTTCTTCTTCTTCTTCTTCTTGGGATCCTCTGCAGCCTTTCCCTCCGGGCTACTTTGCCTTTGCTTCTTCTTCTTCTTCTGATTCTTCTTATTCTTGGGATCCTCTGCAGCCTTTCTCTGCGGGCTACTTTGCCTTTGCTTCTTCTTCTTGGGATCCTCTGTAGCCTTTCTCTCCGGGCTACTTTGCCTTTGCTTCTTCTTCTTGGGATCCTCTGCAGCCTTTCTCTCCGGGCTACCAATACTTTGCCTTTGCTTCTTCTTCTTCTTGGGATCCTCTGCAAGCTTTCTCTCCGGGTTTGTTCGCCTTTGTTCTTCTTTTTGGGATCCTCTGCAGCCTTTCTCTCCGGGCTACTTTGCCTTTTCTTCTTCTTCTTCTTGGGATCCTCTGCAGCCTTTCTCCCCGGGCTACTTTGCCTTTGCTTCTTCTTCTTCTTCTTCTTGGGATCCTCTGCAGCCGTTCTTTCCGGGCTACTTTGCCTTTGCTTCTTCTTCTTCTTGGGATCCTCTGCATCCTTGCTCTCCGAGCTACTTTGCTTTTGCTTCTTCTTCTTTTTGGGATGCTCTGCAGCCTTTCTCTCCGGGCTATTTTGCCTTTGCTTCTTCTTCTTCTTCTTGGGATCCTCTGCAGCCTTTCTCTCCGGGCCACTTTGCCTTTGCTTCTTCTTCTTGGGATACTCTGCAGCCTTTCTCTCCGCTCATTTGCCCTTGCTTCTTCTCTTCTTGGATCCTCTGCAGCTTTCGCTCCGGGCTATTTTAACCTTTGCCTTCTTCTTCTTCTGTGATCTCCTGCAGCCTTTTCTCTCCGGTCTACTTTGCCTTTGCTTCTTCTTCTTCTTTGGAGATCCTCTCAGCCCTTTCTCTCCGGCTATTTTGCCTTGCTTCTTCTTCTTCTTGGGATCTTCTGCAACCTTTCTCTCCGGGCTACTTTGCCTTTGCTTCTTCTTCTTGGGATCCTCTGCAGCCTTTCTCTCCGGGCTACTTTGTCTTTGCTTCTTCTTGGGATCCTCTGCAGCCTTTCTCTCCGGGCACTTTGCCTTTGCTTCTTCCTCTGCAGCCTTTCTCTCCTGGCTATTTTGTCTTTGCTTCTTCTTCTTCTTCTTTGGATCCTCTGCAGCCTTTCTCTCCGGGCTACTTTGTCTTTGCTTCTTCTTCTTCTTGGGATCCTCTGCAGCCTTTCTCTCCGGGCTACTTTGCCTTTACTTCTTCTTGGGATCCTCTGCAGCCTTTCTCTCTGGGCTACTTTGCCTTTGCTTCTTCTTCTTGGGATCCTCTGCAGCCTTTCTCTCCGGGCTACTTTGCCTTTGCTTCTTCTTCTCCTTGAGATCCTCTGCAGCCTTTCTCTCCGGGCTACTTTGCTTTTGCTTCTTCTTCTTCTTGGGATACTCTACAGCCTTTCTCTCCGGGCTATTTTGCCTTTGCTCCTTCTTCTTCTTGGGACCCTCTATAGCCTTTCTCTCCGGGCTACTTTGCCTTTGCTTCTTCTTCTTCTTCTTGGGATCCTCTGCAGCCTTTCTCTCCGGGCTACTTTGCCTTGGCTTCTTCTTCTTGGGCTCCTCTGCAGCCTTTCTCTCCGGGCTACTTTGCCTTTGCTTCTTCTTCTTCTTCTTTTTCTTCTTCTTCTTGGGATCCTCTGTAGCCCTTCTCTCCTGGCTACTTTGCCTTTGCTTCTTCTTCTTGGGATCCTCTGTAGCCTTTCTCTCCGGACTACTTTGCCTTTGCTTCTTCTTCTTCTTGGGATCCTCTGCAGCCCTTCTCTCCGGGCTACTTTGCCTTTGCTTCTTCTTCTTGGGATCCTCTGCAGCCTTTCTCTCCGGGCTACTTTGCCTTTGCTTCTTCCTGTCCTTCTTGGAGCCTCTGCAACCTTTCTCTCCGGCTACTTTGCCTTTGCTTCTTCTTCTTCTTGTGATCCCTGCACCGTTTCTCTCCGGGCTACTTTGCCTTGCCTTCTCTTCTTGGATCTTCCTGCAGCCTTCTCTCCGGGCTACTTTGCTTTGTCTTCTTCTTCTCTTGGATCCTCGCAACCTTTCCTCTCCCGGCTACTTTGACATTGCTTCTTCTCTTCTTCTTGATTCTCTGCAGCCTTTCCTCCGGGCCCTACTTTCTCTTTGCTTCTTTCTTCTTCTGAGATCCTCTGCAGCCTTTTCTCTCCGGGCTATTTTGCCTTTACTTTCTTCTTCTTCTTCCTTGGGATGCCTCTGCAGCCTTTCTCTCCGGGCTACTTTGGCCTTTGGCTTCTCTTCTTGGAATCCTCTGCAGCCTTTCTCTCGCGGGCTTTTTTTCCTTTTCTTCTTCTTCTTCTTGGGATCCTCTGCAGCCCTTCTCTCCGGGCTATTTTGCCTTTGCTTCTTCTTCTTCTTCTTGGGATCCTCTGCAGCCTTTCTCTCCGGGCTACTTTGCCTTTACTTCTTCTTCTTCTTGGGATCCTCTGCAGTCTTTCTCTCCGGGCTACTTTGCCTTTGCTTCTTTTTATTCTTCTTGGGATCCTCTGCAGCCTTTCTCTCCGGGCTACTTTATCTTTGCTTCTTCTTCTTCTTGGGATCCTCTGCAGCCTTTCTCTCCGGGCTATTTTGCCTTTGCTTTTTCTTCTTGGGATCCTCTGCAGCCTTTCTCTCCGGGCCTTTGCTTCTTCTTCTTGGGATCCTCTGCAGCCTTTCTCTCCGGGCTATTTTGCCTTTGCTTTTTCTTCTTGGGATCCTCTGCAGCCTTTCTCTCCGGGCCTTTGCTTCTTCTTCTTGGGATCCTCCATAGCCTTTCTCTCCTGGCTATTTTGCCTTTACTTCTTCTTCTTCTTCTTGGGATCCTCTGCAGCCTTTCTCTCCGGGCTACTTTGCCTTTGCTTCTTCTTCTTCTTGGGATCCTCTGCAGCCTTTCTCTCCGGGCAATTTTGCCTTTGCTTCTTCTTCTTGGGATCCTCTGCAGCCTTTCTCTCCGGGCTACTTTGCCTTTGCTTATTCTTCTTCTTGGAATCCTCTGCAGCCTTTCTCTCCGGGCAATTTTGCCTTTGCTTCTTCTTCTTCCTGGGATCCTCTGCAGCCTTTCTCTCCGGACTACTTTGCCTTTAATTCTTCTTCTTCTTGGAATCCTCTGCAGTCGTTCTCTCCGGATTACTTTGCCTTTACTTCTTCTTCGTCTTGGGATCCTCTGCAGCCTTTCTCTCCGGGCTACTTTGCCTTTACTTCTTGTTCTTCTTGGGATCCTCTACAGCCTTTCTCTCCGGGCTACTTTGCCTTTACTTCTTCTTCTTCTTGGAATCCTCTGCAGCCTTTCTCTCCGGGCTACTTTGCCTTTACTTCTTCTTCTTCTTGGGATCCTCTGCAGCCTTTCTCTCTGGGCTACTTTGCCTTTACTTCTTGTTCTTCTTGGGATCCTCTGCAGCCTTTCTCTCTGGGCTCCTTTGCCTTTGCTTCTTCTTCTTCTTGGGATCCTCTGCAGCCTTTCTCTCCGGGCTACTTTGGCTTTGCTTCTTCTTCTTGGGATCCTCTGCAGCCTTTCTCTTCGGGCTACTTTGCCTTTGCTTCATCCTCTGCAGCCTTTCTCTCCGGGCTACTTTGCCTTTGCTTCTTCTTCTTCTTGGGATCCTCTGCAGTCTTTCTCTCCGGGCTACTTTGCTTTTGCTTCTTCTTCTTCTTGGGATCCTCTGCAGCCTTTCTCTCCCGGCTACTTTGCCTTTGCTTCTTCTTCTTCTTCTTGGGCTCCTCGGCAGCCTTTCTCTCCGGGCTGATTTGCCTTGGCTTCTTCTTCTCCTTGGGATCCTCTGCAGCCTTTCTCTTCGGGCTACTTTGCCTTTGCTTCTTCTTCTTGGGATACTCTGCAGCCTTTCTCTCCGGGCTACTTTACCTTTGCTCCTTCTTCTTTTTGGGATCCTCTGCAGCCTTTCTCTCCAGGCTACTTTGCCTTTGCTTCTTCTTCTTCTTGGGATCCTCTGCAGCCTTTCTCTCCGGGCTACTTTGCCTTTGCTTCCTCTTCTTCTTCTTGGGATCCTCTATAGCCTTTCTCTCCGGGCTACTTTGCCTTTGCTTCTTCTTCTTCTTGGGATCCTCTGCAAGGCAACTTTGCCTTTACTTTTTCTTCTTGGGATCCTCTGCAGCCTTTCTCTCCGGGCTACTTTGCCTTTGCTTCTTCTTCTTCTTGGGATCCTCTGTAGCCTTTCTCTCCGGGCTATCAATACTTTGCCTTTGCTTCTTCTTCTTCTTCTTGGGATCCTCTGCAGCCTTTCTCTCCGGGCTACTTTGCCTTTGCTTCTTCTTCTTCTTCTTGTGATCTTCTGCGACCTTTCTCTCCGGGCTACTTTGCCTTTGCTTCTTCTTCTTCTTCTTGGGATCCTCTGCAAGGCTACTTTGCCTTTACTTTTTCTTCTTGGGATCCTTTGCAGCCTTTCTCTCCGGGCTATTTTGCCTTTGCTTCTTCTTCTTGGGATCCTGTACAGCCTTTCTCTCCGGGCTACTTTGCCTTTGCTTCTTCTTCTTGGGATCCTCTGGAGCCTTTCTCTCCGGACAATTTTGCCTTTGCTTCTTCTTCTTCTTGGGATCCTCTGCAGCCTTTCTCTCCGGGCTACTTTGCCTTTGCTTCTTCTTCTTCTTCTTCTTGGGATCCTCTGCAATCTTTCTCTCCGGGCTATTTTGCCTTTGCTTCTTCTTCTTGGGATCCTCTGCAGCCTTTCTCTCCTTTCTCTCCGGGCTACTTTGCCTTTGCTTCTTCTCTTCCTGGAATCCTCTGCAGCCTTTCTCTCCGGGCTACTTTGCCTTTGCTTCCTCTTCTTCTTCTTGGGATCCTCTATAGCCTTTCTCTCCGGGCTACTTTGCCTTTGCTTCTTCTTCTTCTTGGGATCCTCTGCAAGGCAACTTTGCCTTTACTTTTTCTTCTTGGGATCCTTTGCAGCCTTTCTCTCCGGGCTATTTTGCCTTTGCTTCTTCTTCTTCTTGGGATCCTCTGCAGCCTTTCTCTCCGGGCTACTTTGCCTTTGCTTCTTCTTCTTCGGGTCCTCTGCAGCCTTTCTCTCCGGGCTACTTTGCCTTTGCTTCTTCTTCTTGGGATCCTCTATAGCCTTTCTCTCCGGGCTATTTTGCCTTTGTTTCTTCTTCTTCTTGGGATCCTCTGCAGCCTTTCTCTCCGGGCCACTTTGCCTTTGCTTCTTCTTCTTCTTCGGATCCTCTGCAGCCTTTCTCTCCGGGCTATTTTGCCGTTGCTTCTTCTTCTTCTTCTTGGAGTCCTCTGCAGCCTTTCTCTCCGGGCTACTTTGCCTTTGCTTCTTCTTCTTCTTGGGATCCTCTGCAGCCTTTCTCTCCGGGCTATTTTATCTTTGCTTCTTCTTCATCTTGGGATCCTCTGCAGCCTTTCTCTCTGGACTACTTTGCCTTTGCTTCTTCTTCTTCTTCTTGGGATCTTCTGCAGCCTTTCTCTCCGGTCTACTTTGCCTTTGCTTCTTCTTTT